CAATATTTCGACCTCGTTTGACATCCCGTAATGACCTTGAAAATAGAGACATGAATAAAGAAAATTATTTATATATAAAGGGGTGGGGTTAGGTGATAACAGGGGTGGGTGGGGTGTTTGGTGGGTTAAAAAGTCAGGGAAATGTCAGGAAAAAATGATGATCAATTTGGAGCTAACGAATGGGAAATGATAGTTGTCTGGCAAAAGGTGCCTTCTAATTAGTTTTTTTTTTTAATTTCAGCATTGAATTGTCAAAGCCAGCCACATCAGCCGGAAGTAAGGCGTGTAGTAATTCCGTGAGTACGTCTAGCATCCCCCTTAATTATAAAGAGAAAACAAACCATAACTTCAATAGAAAAGTCCAAATTCAGATCCTCGAAGTTCGTCGGAATCTTGATTCAATAACCTTTTCCAATTATATTATTTTTATGGGATATACATCTGTCCAGATTTTCATTGAATTTAATAACACAATTCTACACATTGGAAATCGTTAGAACACAGATGACAGAAAATTTGATTTCACTTTTTTTCAAGGTTGGCATTTGATAACATTCGTCTATTTTATGTTTCTTTTATTATGATATATACTCAACTTTCACTGTGATTCAAAAAAAAAAAAAAAGAAAAATGCTTCTATTGTTCAATAAAATGGACCAATTCTTACAAATATTCAATGTTCATGCATTAGAATGAACACTGAACAATGAATTTACTCTAAAATATCATGGATTTAAACAAATAAATGTAAAATTTCACGTTTATTCCACATCTAAACATTAATATAGGAAATACAATATGGATAATAATTGGATCTAAATTCCATACAATTAACCAACAGATATCTAAGATTTCACGTAGTGAGAAGTACAAGAGTTATCTCTACTGGACATTGAGTTTGAAGTTAGATGATATCCCACTATTTCTGTCATTGTTTGATCTCACATAAAGAATGCAGCATACACTGAAGTGAAAACATAAACCAGTAGAGAAGAACCCACAAATACAGCCAGTGTCACGACCGCGTATACGGGTTCACCCCCACAAGAAAGTACTCCAAGTTTCACTTGAATAAAATCCACGATGGAAAATGTCAGAAATAAACATCCCATGACGGATCCAATGGCAGAGCCAAACAACCCGTATTTCATAACAGAAGAGTCGATATCAGCTTTATGAGGGTTGGTTGCATCTAAACTGTTCAACAAGTTGATTGTCAGCTTGAGACTTTGTGCTATGAGGGAGGAAAACAGAAAGAAACTGAAGGAAATGACTTCGAAAACGATAAGTCTTCTGACTGTACCGATACTGGCATTGCATGATGCTGGATGCCCAGCGCTGCCATTTGCAGGGACAGTGAGGGAGAAACCGATGAAGATTGCCATGGTGAAGAGCGAGTTCACGTTTACTATACCATCTAGGGCAGTTACGTGGATGCTAGTCTTGGACCGACCCAAGGTGGAGGGCTGCGCATCTTGTGAAGTCTTTGATTGCAACTCAATTCTGTTCAAAATAATCGAGGGAATCAGTACATTGTTTGTAATTAAAAACACACAAATAAATAGCAAACAAAGTCCCATATCGACTAAACATGGGTGATAACGAGCGATGAAATTATTTTACCCGTCAACGACTGTATCTTTCGTCGAGGACTGAGCTGGTAATGCAACGGAGAGCCTGTCTCTGGTGAACATTTTCTTGCAAGAATATTTAGGTAGTTGTAATGCTATACATATATGCACTTATATATATAATTCAGCATGGCAAGTTGGACACTTGTGCACATGCCAATTTATTGGGATGCCTATCTTGACCATGGATATATAATTTACCCTATTAGACGTTTGAAATCCGGTCTCGATTAAGTCAAAAGATGTTTAAAATATGCAGAAATCTTACGCCGAACAACCCAAAAAAACCTATTTCTGTAATAAAATATCAAAAAAGTGTATTTTGTCTTTTAGTTTACCTAATTTTTAGGGTATGATTATACGATGATAATATAATTTATCCATTGATGAATAAGGAGAAATCTTGGCTTTGAACAAACCCAAAAAACCTAATCCTGTAATGAAAATAGTTAGGTCAATCTTGAAGTTCTGTACGTATGTTATCTTTGCTTATTTACCTAATTAATTTTGGTATGATAACTGCATTATTATCCATACATAATCCCATTTTGAACTTTCTATCGTATAATTTAATAATAATGCTATACGTACACCCGGGATTGACACCCCAAATGATACATCCTTCACATGGGGGTGGGGACTACAAGTAATAAAATAATCTAGAGCCCCCCTATGTGAGGGGATGTCATCCGGAATGTCAACCCCGAATGCACATATCTCCTCTTGTCCTCGAACACCGACTATGACCACAATTTCATGTTCCTATCTCTAGAAAAAAGTGGTACTTAAAGTTGGGTTAGAAACAAACTAAGTTCCTGTGCTACAGTGGACATCTATGAGACAAATAACAATATGGTAGGGTTCCTACAATTTATGGAAGAAGCCAGAGAAGTTTCCATCAAATGGGAAGCAAGCTTGAATGAGATCAGATGTTATCTCAATCAAGCTTTGAACCAATTATTATTCATTTTAAATACACTCTGACACTTGCTTAGGATGCATTTCTTGAATCTTGACCTCGAAAACACCGATGATGACTAGTTCACGATAATAAATGCGCAAGATCAGGAAAGAGAACAAAAGCATCTAAAGATTAATTCATTTGGACGAGTGAACCTTTAATAACAATTATCGAAGAGCATCCTAGAAGCACACTGAAGTGGAATTTTGTTCATAACAAAGTTGAAAAGCATAGCCATCTGATTTCTTAATGTCATATCCGTTTTTTCCACTACACTTCTTGTTCAGGGCTTGTCATGGATTTCATATGTGCAATTTTCTTGGCAAACCAATTATGAAGCACTTCCTTTACCAATAATCACCGCAAGAACAAACACCATTTTGAAAATGGTGAAACCTGTTTCTATCTCTCACAACAATTCTTCTTCCTGTGATCTTCGAAATGAGCTTGATCACAGAATGGCAATCATTGCAAACTCTTAGATTTTTTATGATCCTTAACGTGCGCTGTGGTTCGGTCGATATTAAGCCATAGCATATTGCTAGCCTCTCACTGTGTATGGCTAAAGCCGATTCCTTCTCTCGATCGGTAATATCCTGTGACACCACCTCTATTTGCGGATTGTAACCTTCTGACCTCAGTGTTTCATTCAACTCCTCCAATTTTCTGTATATCGCTTCCTTTTGAGGGTGTCTAATGTCTCCCAGAAAGAACTCGTGAATCTCATTATTCACTTCAAGCGAACTGCAACCTGGTTCTTTCTGAACGCCACCTTCTTTCAACATTGCCCGCACTAGTGCAGCCTCTTCCCATTTATTCCAAGAAGCATATGCGTTAGCCAGAAGAATATAAGTTCCAGTATCAGCATGCCCATTATCTAATAGAATTTTTGCAACCTGTTCTCCAAGTTCAACATTTTGATGAACTTTGCAGGCATTTAAGAGTGATCCCCATATTATATGGTCTGGGGATAATTCCATATTCTGTATGTATCTGAAAGCCTCCTCAAGATGTCCTACACGACCCAAAAGATCAACCATGCAACCATAATGTTCAATCTGCGGTTCAAGTCCATACTCAATTTTCATACTTGCAAAAATTTCAATACCTTCGTCCACCAATCCCCCATGACTACATGCATTAAGCACACCAACAAAGGTAATGTTGGTTGGTCTTAATCTGTCCTTTATCATCATTCGGAAGATTTCAACAGCCTCTATGCTCTTCCCGTGCAATGCAAAACCCATGATCATGGAATTATAAATTGTGACCTCTCTCTTTTTTATCCCCTCGAACACCCTCTCGGCTTCTTTAATACTCCCACACCTTGCATACATATTAATCAGAGCTGAACCAACAAAATAATTAATCTCAATATCATACTTCTCAATGTAAGAATGAATCCATCTACCAAGCTCCAACGCTCCCAATTGTGCACAAGCAGATAAAACACAAACAACTGTAACTTCATTCCCTCTCACGCCTTCCCCTTGCATCTGCCTGAATATCTCCAGCGCCTTATTCATTTCCCCATTCCTTACAAGCCCATCAATCATCGCTGTCCAGCAAACCGTATCCTTAATCCTCACCAAATCAAAAACCTCACTAGCATTTTTCACAAACCCATAATCAAGATAGGAGGATATCATTACCGTTAATGCAACAATATCTCTATCGAGCATTTCATCAAACACCCTCTTCATATTTTCAAATTCTCCACATTTTCCATAAAACTCCAGTAGTTTAAGTTTAACTGATCTATTCGAACACAGCCCAAGTTTTGCACACTGAGCATGAATTCCCCTACCCGTTCTCAAATCCCCGTAAAACCCACATGCCTTTAATACAGAGCTAATTACATAATTATCCGGCATAACAAAATTTTCAATCATTTGCATATACACTCTGATGCCATGATCGAATAACCCAGATAACACAAGCCCATCAACAAGAGCTGTATAGAGATAGACATTAGGCTTTGAGAACTGTTTAAAAATCTTGAGAGCATAATCAATGGCATTACATTTGGAGCAAACGCGAAGGAGCTCAAATACAATAAAAACGTCGTCTTCTTCGCCATTTTTAATGATATTAGCGTGAATTGGAGTAATTTCGTTGCTATTTCTGCATTTTTGTAGAAGAGATATGCATTTCTTACGGTACTGAGAATGAGAATCGTTGGGATTTAAATTTGAGTTAGGATTTGGAGGGAAGAGAAGCGCGGGTCCGAGCCCGATGGCTTGCGCAATGCAATTCATTGACGTTAACAATTACACTGAACCCGTAGTTTCTATTAAATTGCCATCTTAAAATAAAAAGGGAAGATTACACAAATCATGTTTTTACTTTTACATATTTCAAAAATTCCAAAATATGTTTCAAATTTCAAAATTCAGATTTTTTTAAAATTTTTAATTATAAAATAATAATTACTAAACTAATTTATTATTAATATTTAATTCTACCATAAAATAATTAATCCATCCCCACCTCCACCTCCACCTCCACCACCCCTACAACTCCGGGGATATTCCAGCGAACCGTTCCGGTCACCACTCT